GGAGAAGCCTCAGGACCTTGATGCATTTTTCAGGACATCCAGATCTGGCCAGTACTTTCCACAAAACTTCATGATTAATGAAGTCAAAGGCCTTAGTAAATGTCAATGTTAACTCCAGGAGAAGTTTCAAGCAACGAAGATTGTGTCAATTACCCTGTGGGATGCTCTGAAGCAACACCCAGATTCCAGCAGAACTTCCTCAGCAAGATGTACGTGATGGTTCAGGAGGATTTTCTCCTTCTATGGAAAGGATGGCAATACCTCAATAATTCGCCCAGAGACTTATTTCCTTTCTTGAAAACAGTCACAATGTTAGCATTCCTTAGATCCCCAGAGATCTCCTCATTTTTCCAATTTCAAAGAATATATTTGATTACAAAGTAATCAAAGTACCAGTTTCTTGCCACCAGCCTTAAAGATTTCAGCAGATACAGCATCTGATCCAATAGCCTTGTTCTTGGTAACTTTGCTGGTATGCCAGACTTCTTTTAGGAGGGATGGTGAGGGATCCTCTTTCAGGATATTGGGAGATGGACTTGGTGGTGGCATTGGTCACAATTGACTCATGGTTCAGGAGCTCCTTGAAGTGCTCTTTTCTTCTAGCTTGGATAGATTCTTTGTCTCTTGAGGAGTGTCAAACCATTCTGCAATTGCAGGAAAGTAGGACTGTTGGAGGTTGGACCATAGATGACTTTCATTGCCTGGAGGAAACTATACATGTCTCGTTTGTCAGCATACAGCTGAATCTTCTTGTTTTGTTCTTGCCATCACTGGTTTTTGATTTCCTGGATTCTCCTTTGAACTTTGGCTTTGAGGAGCTATGTCTCCTTCTTCTGCTGAGATGAAGTGTAATCTTGCCAAGTAGAATGAGTCGTTTTCTTCCACTTGAGGAGGGCTTAGATCAGTGGATTCAGCATAGGCCATAGACAGTGGTTTTAAACCCCTTCCAAAGTTCCTCAGTGTTGCTGCCTTCAGCTGTAGGCAAGACAGAGAGCTTTATGTGAAGATGTGTTGGATCCTTAAAGACCTTTGCGTCTTGATGAGATTTGATGCTGAAAAACCTTCACATTCCTTTTGGCTGTTTTTGGTGTTTAAAAGCAAGCCAGATGTTCATAATGGATCTTACAAAACAATTAACCATCCAGCAGTCATCTGTTTCTCACATGGCTCATTTGGTATGGACATCTAGGATCACAGGCTCTAACAATAACATAGTTGAGGAGGTACTAGAGCTTAGAGTAGGGGTCAGCAACCCCCGGCATCCATGCCAAGCATGGCACACAAGGCCATTTTGCCCGGCACATCACTGCCAGCCTGGACTCTAAGCAGCTGCTGCCAGCCACAGAGCCCAGGATGCTCCTAGTAGGCAGCTGGGAGGCTACAAGCCCTGCTGCAAGCCCTACTGCGGGCTCCATGGGCCGGCTGCAGCTGGGAGGCTGCAAACAGCTGCTCTGGCCTCTGGCATGTCGGCACTCCAGCACCTTCCAAGGTAGACACTGTGGTTTTTTTGGCACTCCAGCCAAAAAATGTTACCTATCCCTAGCTTAGAGTGAGGGTGTCTCCAGGTAGTCTTGTATTTGTTACACCATCTGAAGATGGCATTTGGTGTTTGTAATGACAAGACTGCATTCCATGAATTTGCTCAGGAGACAGATGCTGTTACAATTGACTTTCCCTGCTCCTTCCTTCCCAATGGTGCCACTCCAGAGTTACAAGTCATACCCAACTCCAGCACTGAAGTTACCAAGAAGTATGAACTTGTCCTTCTTGGGAGTATTAGTTGGAAAATGGTCAAGGTTGGAGTAGAATTCTTCTTTGACTTCAACAGCATTGAGTGTTGGGGCATCGGCACTGTGGCTGAGCTTAAGGAGGGTCATAAGACATTCACTGATGCCCATGAGGAGCTCTGTAAATTGACTCACCATGAAGAACCAGCTGGTTAAACTGATGCCATGAATGCACCTGTCCTGGGCTGATTTCTCCTTTCGGAAGAAGGTGCAGCCTCCACCCTCTTGCCTCAGCTGATCCTCATCTGGCCATCTTGTCTCACAACAGCAGTATCACAGCTCTGAGAATCTCACTAGTTCCCTAGAGGCAATGGCAGCTTGTTGTTTGCAGTCGTACACTGTCTTGGTTGTCCATCATGGTGTAAATGTTCCATGTTGCAAAAAAATCATTATTGTGTTATGATGTTCAAGATCACAGAGAGAGCAATCCTGGTGGATGTGGTTATCAAGCTGGGAGTAGATAAGACAACCTAGGTTTATGGCACCTTTTTTAGCCCCCTCCCTGTGTAGGGTGAGCAGAGAGGAACCTGAATAGCACTCCTCAGTCATGGTGGCAGCTGCTGAATTGCATCGCTGTCTCAACCCAGATGCAAAAGGACCATCAAGCTACTGCCAACTGCATGCAGATTTGTGACTGGAAACTGCTGGATTCACTGGTCCTGTCTTCATCACCAGTGGTCCATCACCTCAGGGCTTTTGAAGGTTGGTATAGGAGAGCATTGTCTCCTGTGGTAGAAACCCGAGTGTGACTTTGTTTAATGTGAGGAAGCTGATACACTCGTGTTTCCAGCTTGATGCAGGAGATCTGATTACCATTAGCACTCTTCTCCTGAAATCCCCTCTCAATTTGTATAGTTCAAGTACAGTTAATCAGAATCAAAAAGAGACGCAGAACAAAACTGTGTAGTACCTCATCTTTTGCTTATTTTAAAATGATAAAGTATTTAAAAATATTTTAAGCCTGTGTAAACAGTGCGAGTCCTGGTTTAGTCATAATAGTGATTATGCATGCGTAGGATGAATAGAGGTTAGAAGTCTCTGGAACATCTAAACTTCTGACCTTGATGGCGCTATGACCTACTTAGGAAACTGAGGCATGCGCAGTTGAAACCTTGTTATATAACCAAACAGTGGGAACTTTATGTTAATAAGTTATGAAGTGATAATGAATATGAGTGGTCCAAGAAAATGATACTGTTGAATGACACTGATTGATTGAGACGTGCAAACAGTGATTGGACCATGGTATGATTGGCAGGTGGCGTGAAGCAACCACTACATAAGCCAACGTGAGGCACAATCTCCGTGTGTGTGTGTGTGTGTGTGCGCGCGCATGAATGTGCAGGAGAACACTTGCGTGTCTGCGTATATGGTGAAGAGTGCGTGCGCCAAGATGCTGTGTGAGCTGAGTCTGAGAGCCTGAGTTTTGAGTGGTGCTGAATTTGTTGGAGAGGCTGGGAAGGTTGGAGTGCGGGTGCTGAGTGGAGTGAGTGCAGGGACACTGGAATTGTCACCTGAGATACTCACCTTCATTTCCCATAGGACGGGTAAAGCATCACCCTTCCCTTTAGAGGTCTCCAAGTACTCCACTTGTGGAGGGAAGGGTAGAAATCCTCTGCCTGATAGGGATCTGACAGTAGGGCCCTACAGCCTGGGTGTCAGTGTTCTTGGCTGCCACCGCTGGTGACAGGCTGGTATGGCTCTCTGTACATATTTGTATATAGCATTCTGTTAAGTGGTTGTTAGCTAGTTCATGTTGCTATGATTATTGTTATTTTTGGCTTGTAATACAGATTGGTTATTAACCCTTACTTTGGTGTTTGTATTCATTAATAGTAGTGGCCCTCAGGGTGGGGCTGGGCTGCAGGCCAATACTCTGAGAGATTAACCCTTTTGGGTGCCAATGAATCACAGACCCCTGGCACAGTAGAGGCCTAACAAACCTCTGCCCCTGTAATTACCATAGCCCTTATGCCAGGCCAGTCTTCACCTTGTTTACATGGAGGAAAAGGACCAATATAACTATACCCCTCCCTGCATGTGCTCTGGAATAGCTATTTTGAATACATTCATTTTATACTAAAATAATTACTCAGCTGTCAGGAACTATTCTGGAAAAATAACTTTTTTGTAATACTTTTATCTTATAACAATGTTCTTGGGATCGGCAAGCCTGGAACAGTGATAGGAGAACAGTTATTCCAAAATAGTCAATTTCCCCACAGACAGGTGCCAAGTGAGAACAATGGGACAAAACCTAAGGTCATGTGTGTAAAATTCCTATTGAACTCTAGTGCCCTTTTTAAGATTTCATAAAAAACTGAAAAGAATTGGTCAAAACATTTTCTTAATGACAGCAAATAAACAAGACTCCATGGATTTTTACATGGCTGTAGAGCCCCAATGCAACACTTAACCAAAAGGAAACCGTTACTTACACTGGAACAGTACTGTATGCTAGTGGTTTCAGCTGTATCAATGGCTGAAAAACACAAGTGAAGACAACCCTCAAAGTGAGGGTGATGGCAAAGTAACATGTACCTTGATAAGAGCAATGTATTTCTGCCAACCTTTGTTATATCTGAGCAAGAAAACACTGGCTTATCAACTCTAGGTATGGTATCCAAGGTAATTATATAAGTTTTTGGATAAAGGATATTACATCAATTATGGTAAATTATACACTTCCTAAGACTACGAGCAAATAATGTTTTTTTCCTCTTCCTTCCTTTCAAAAGTGTATAGTGGGTAGAGCAGCAGGCTGAGGACTATTTTATTCAGTGTTATTTGTGTAAAAATGCTGATATTTGTAGAATTAATATTCGCTCTCTGTTTGGACAGAGCACAAAGTGAGCATGTTTATTTCCAGCTTCTATTTTTAAAAATTTTCACTGTTTTCGTGTTCTCTTGGTTCTTATTGTGAGTAAAACTTTCCCTGGGGCCAGAAAGGAGGGAGCAAATGGGCATGCTAAAGACAGCTATATTAAGTATTTGTTATTCATATTTTCTTCTCCCCACCTTTCAGATTTCCATGACTCAGATTAGGAAATGTTGCCAGATCTGCCTACAAAATAGTAACATTAGAAACTAGCATCCCTTACAAAGGACTTAATTCACTTTCATCAGTAACTGCCTCAAAAATGTGAAAAAATCACAATATAGTGGTAGATGTAGAAAGAGCGGGACAGGGAGAGGGAGAAGGAGAAAACTTACATCAATGACAGATGAACTTGTCAGCTTTAAGCCCTCTAGGTCAGCAACTAAACTTGGCGGCAAAATAGCTGGTCTAGGAACTACCACAGGAGTCGAAACAAAACTAACTGCAGAGGGAAAAAAGTAGCAGTTAAATCCATTTTTAAATCAACTTCTTAAAAGTAAAAGCATTGTTCCTAAAAGGAAATGATATTATTTTGATTAAGCATATAAAAACTTAGCATCTTGATTTAGCTGGGTTATGCTCAAACACATTTTGAACTCTCAGATATTAATCTTTAACATCTCAGAAAACAATGACGAATTGCTTGTTATCTACCATGCTTATCTATTAAAAACAATAACCTGAAGTGCTTTGAAGAATGGCTGATGGAGTGCCAACAGAAACTAATATAAGAAAATTAGTAAGTTTGATTTAAAATATTTTATGGTTCAATAATATTAAGCTTTCATAGACTGGTAACACAGTTCTTCATTCTTTGTTTCTGTAATCCTTGCCTGGTCTATTTCTATATTATTCATATAATGCCATATACTTCGATTTTACTTACCAAATTAAACCTTTTACGAACTCTATATGCAAAACTCTCATTCACTTGCATGCGATTCCAATATATACTGCACTTAAAGGGAGCAGTCTTGAAATTAGAACATTTACAATCCCAGAGAATATATACTGCAAGATTTAGTCTAGAAAACTGTTACATTTCTTCTCCCCTGACGTCCAGTACTATGTTTGACTATTCAAATTTTTATTCATGTCTCCTTTACAGTAATGGAATTAGCTCACAGATTAACTGTATCACTTCAACTCTAATCAGCATCCACAATAGGCCTAAAGCAATAATTCCATTTAAAGGGCATAAGATCATTGGATCACAGGAAAGTAGAATTGAAAGAAATTTCATGAGGTCATCTAGTCCAGCTCCCTGCTCAAGGCAGGATCATTCTTGACTTAAACCGTCTCAGCCATGTGTCTAACCTGCTCTTTAAAATTTCCAAGAATGGAGATTCCACAATTTTTCTAGGTAGCCTGTTACAATGCATGACTAACCTCACAGTCAGGAAGTTCCTCCTAATCTCCAACCTAAATTTACCCTGCTAGAGCTTACGGCCACAGCTCCTACTCTTGTCCCCTACATTCACAGAGAAAAGCCCATTCCTTCCTCTCTGTAAACTGCCCTTCAGGTATTTGAAAACTGTTATAAAATCCCTGTTCTTCTCTCCTCTAGCTTAAATAACCTTAATTTTTCAGACTTTCCTCATACAAAGTCCAGATCACAAAACTTCAAAACAAATGCAGGTTTAAAATACCAGCACATTAAAATATTTAAGACCTTTTCTGATACAGTCTTAAACTTGACAAGAGAGTAATTTTCTTAATTGCATTTGATAAAGAACAAATATGTGATCTGACTGACAACAATTTGTTTCTGTGAACTGATATGCTAAATGAACAGGATGATTGCCTGAGGCACTGAAGACTTAATTGTACTGATCAGCAGGGATCTGGGTTTTCCATTTTGTGTGGAAAAATGCAGAAAAACACAAATTTCCCTTTTAAAATTGAAATTACGGATTTTCCCCTTTGAAACAGGAAGCCACTGGCAGCGAGGAAGCCGTGAGCAGGGGGACAGTGGGCAGGCATGGCCAAGACAGTAGCAGGTGCTGCCCCTCGCCCCCACCGACAGGGGCTGGAGCTGCAGACAGAACCGGGGCCACAGACCCCCTGTGCAAGGGACAGCCGCAGCTGGACTCACATCCTGGTGAGTGAAGGGGGCAGAGGGTGTCCTGATATTCCATGATAAAAAAACCCAAAAATCAAATGCCACAATATGCAGGTATTTAATATTTATTATAACAACTGAGGCACTGGTAGGCTGCCAAACTGCTTTCAAATTGTAAATATATCAATAAAACATTGTGTTCAACTAATACCTATATATACAGTAGCGTTTCATTTTAAATCAGAGAAAAACACGGGTGTTGGGGTTTTTAATCAGAGAATTTTGGAATTTTTATGGAGAAAACCATGATCCCGACTGATCAGGTAGTCTTTGACTACATTCTTAAAGAGATATAATAGCTTAAACAGAATACTTACAATCATCCAGATCTAGTAAGGACACCTCTTGTTTACTGGAAGTTTTTTTCTTTTGCTGTGGTTTTTCTTCACTCTGTCAAAACACATGAATATTTCATCTATTGCTATCCAAGTAAAAAGAATACTCTCCTATATTTTTATAACAGCAAAGCATATTTTCTCCACTGTAAAAGAAAAATATGTACCCATTTCGCTCATGTCAGCATTCTGCAAATTCTCATGGTAAGAATTCTTAGTATGCATAAACTGAATTATATTCCACAACTTCATAATGAACTTTGCAGTTGAAATAAACTTTTTAACTACCTCCTGCTTTATTACTCCCCCCTATACCTTTCTGGTGTAGTAACCCTAGAGCATTTTTTTAATGATATAAACATAAATAAAACTTCTAGAAAAAGATCAAACAGTTAAAATTTTTCTGCAGAGGGAAAAAAAAATGGAAAACCTGATAACAGTACCCTTTTGGAAGAAAGCAAGCTGAATTTAAGCAACAGCATTTCTCCTTCCATATGAACCAAAAATAAATACCTCCATATGAATAAAACAATATTATTTGGAATGCAACAGAATTTTGGAGCCCAAGTCACAGACCATATCCCCCATACACAACGTAGTGCTCTGAGCATTCCTTCGGTTTGGGGTAAGCTCCTGCACTTTCTTCAGCCTTCTGGTTGCACACAGGCTCTGCCTGTTAACACCACTGGAGAAGTGGGATCATACAATCCAGCTGCCCTACATCTACCAGACTATTACTGACACCCAGAAGTTTAGAACCCACCCTTTCCTAAACTGCAAATCTTGAGTATTCTGGTTTACCTCTTCAGGGAACTGCAACAGCTAAGTACATAACACCATATACATGGAAAAACAAAGAAAATAATCTTATAGATTTACAGTTGTTAAGGGCCAGAAGGGACCTTTCAGATTATCTGGTCCAGCCCCCCTGCGTGCGGGCTGGAAAGACTGTTGGGATCAGATGACACCAGCAAGATGGGCACCAAGACACTTGACACATCGCCAAGGTGGGTGCCACCACTGTGGGGAGCCTGTTCCAAACCCTGAGCACTCAACTTGTAAAGAAGTTTTTCCTTATGCATAGCCTGAAGTGATCTTGACAAACAAAATTACTTTTTCTCTAAATAGCTTAAGAGTTTCTGGAAGATACACTTCAGTTATAGAAATTAATTGGTTTAATATAGAAATAACTGTGTGAGATTATTGCCTGTGTTATACAGAAGGTCAAATTAAATGGTCCACTCAGGCCTTAGAAATCTATTAACCTTTTTGGCATCAGCAGGGATAGAGGGGAACTGAAACCAGGAAAATACTGTTCTCTAAAACACTGTTTCTTTCCAAATTCTTCCTGATTCTGTAAGAACAAGTAAATTAATAAACTTTCTACTATTGAGTCTCTCTCCTATTTATTTGCTATCAGAGAGAATGAATTGGTAGCATAGCTCCCAAGGGAAACCAATTAAAAAAGACATGGGAAAGCCATTTAGAAAAATAAAGTTAAGACCTGCTGAGCAGATTGACAAGGTCCACACTTCATGAGAAAGAAAGTGGCAATGAAATCTGACTCAAAGCTGATCAGATCCCTTCTCAAATTGCCACCAAGGGAAAGACCCTGGAGATAGTTGAGTACTTCCCTTACCTCAGTAGCCACCTCTCTTAAAGATCCAACACTGATGAGAAGATCCAGCACAGGATCCAGTACACAAGCACTTCCCGCAGGAAATTGCTTCAGCATGTTTTTATTGATCATGATCTCCAGAAATACACCAAGATCGACATCTATGACAAAGTCCTCACCCCCACTCTCCTTTACAGGTATGAAACTAGGGCAACCTACCACTGTGACCTCCAGAGCCTGGAAAGGTATCACCAATGATACCACTGGACAATCCTCCACATCAAATGGGAAGCTCACCACACAAATATCAGCATCCTTGCTGAAGCCAGTGTTACTAGCATTAAGTCAGTGATTCTCAAACACCAGCTTCACTGGAGTGGACATCATGTGCTGCCTGAGATCTCGTAATGGTCAGGGGAAATGCTACAAGGACAACCTTTCTTGAAAGCATACCTCAAGAAAATAGATGCCAACATCAAGAGCTGGAAGAAGCTAGCTGCAACCGAAATCCAGTGGTGCCGCAACCTCAATCAGGTCGCAGCCTACTTTGAAGTAATGGATCTTGCCCTCAAAGTAGAGAAGAGAGAGTGGAGGAAGGAAAAAAAAAAGGAATCCTGGCCTACTGCCCACTCTCCCCTATGGAAAGGCCAGCAACGTTTGGATCTGTGGCTCAAGGACTAGACTCTTAAGTCACCTCAAGACCCATGAATGAGTCATGGTAGAGGCCATTCTCAAATCAAGGAACTGCCAACAACAACTTTGGAAGTATAAAGTACAGGGCACGTCTAGTGCAATCCATTCCCTGTTATACCCTCCCCGTCATTATTAACCATCATTGATTTATGGGTGTCAGATGATGCAGTTCTGGTTCTAGGAACAAAATACACTCAACTGCCATTTGAATAGGCTCATGTGATCTCCTCTTAGTATTTCTGTTGTCCAAATATTCTTACAGTACAGCATTCAACAACATCACAAATATTATTAACCATATGTTTTCAGTAAGGACTTTGGGCATTAATGGTGTCACATTCTGAGCCAGCTTTACTGAAATAGCAACCACCAAGAACATCTCATAGAGGTAGAGAAATAAAGGAAATTAGTGTTTTTCTGAACCAAAACTGATTTTAATCAGTTTTGTAGTCCATCTTTAAAGCATGGCAAATGTCTCCCCTCAGGCTCTGGCAGCTCAAGAACTCAATGGATTTGCTTCGTTTTTCCCAACATATTTTTGGGATCAGAAAATGTATAAGAAATTTCATTATGAGGTAATTTTTTCTGTAAAAATATTTCAGTACATTTAGAGGGTAAAAAACCTGACAACTACAGAATCATTATTTCAATTCTAATAATACATGGCAAGAAAAACTTCATTATGTAAAGTATCAAAACTTTATATTGAGACAATAACTCTGGCTTTCCTTTAAACAAGTGCATGGTAATCTTTTGAGAACTGTAAACTTCCTTGCCTGGAAAAACTAGAAAGCAACCAGATCAAGATAAAGCTAAAATTAGAGCATAGGTCAAGTTATTTTCTACTTAATAGTTTGGAATGTGTAACACTTTAAAATTTATATTTAAGTCAAAGGCAAACACAAAAGGCAAAGCAAGTAAGTTAAATTGGCCTCTCATTACAACTCTTTTTCCTTTGATGTTTAAGAAAAAGAAATTCATGGGCTTTCTAGGAATAATAAAAAGCCAATGACCGATACAAACATTACCAACAGATATGTCTGCACAGGGGAGAGAGAGAGAGGGCTTTGCATTCCAAATCAAAGCTATAAAAACATTCTGATATATTCAGCATCTGTGTTGCGTTATTTTTCACCTTTAAAAAAAATAAAATAAACCTACAGTATAAACAGAACAGTTTCCTACTTAAAGAACCTACTCTGGAAAAAAGATGAATATTAAACAAAGAAGTTAAGCTATATTCCATCAAACATTTCTCCATTTGCAATTCATCTTGGTAATAGAGATAGAACCTGGGTAAATGCATATAGGACTTGAAGCAGGAGATTTCTCTTGCTCAATGCATAATTCATGTGCTCCGCCTGCAAAGTGTGTAAAATGAGAATTTCACACCGCAGCGTGAGCCATGGAGCTGCAGAGAAAAGGCAGATGAAATCATATTTTACTGTGTGAATTTTATTTCTTATCTTCCCAATATTTATACAAACCATCATTGACAAACCAAATGCACTGACAGATCACCCACTGTTTCCATTGTGTTAGCACTTGAAAAGAGATCAGGCAGAAAGATAGACAATTTGTTTTTGTATATTTTTTAAATAGTGGATCAGGTTTTTAACAGCTGAGTGACTGTATTAGACTTGTATAAAGAAGCGAACAGTAGCTGATTTTAAAATCCTACTGTACAGGCACCTATTTATCTCTGCAACATCCTCAAATCTGCATTTTATTTCTACAGTATTTGATTACATATCAAAGCACCTCAAAGTATGAAATACAGTCCAGCAGGATAGGAAAGTGAATTTTCTGTTTGCTGTAGCTTAGCTACAAAGAATCCAAATGCTTTTTCAAAGTAACAATGTTACGAGTGAAGCACAAAAATGTTAATATTGTAGTCAGCCAAAATGATTTTGGACCATTGCACATATCCATTTTTATGCTCGGACAAAAGTAGATATACAAAATACTTACACAGAAAAAAAAAATCAAATAATATTTTCTTATGAAAGCTTGTGTAACATGGTATTAATATTTAACTCCAAACATTAAGAAAGTAAATTAAGCTCAAAAACATTACAAAGATTATATAAACTTTACTAAACCTGTAGTGAACTTAGAAATTGAAAACTGCCAATATAATTTCTCACATCTTACAGCACAGTATTTCCATATATATTTTTAATTGCAAAGCAGGTGAAAAGCTGATGAATTTTATATCTCCATATAATGAAAAAAATGAGAAAGCCAACGCAGAAACTGGAGTTGGAAGGATTGTGGTCAATTCCTCATTAGAACAAAATGGGCAGAGTCTGTACTAGCAAACATTTCACAAAAACATAGGTATTTCTGAGAGTAGATAAACTCCAGGAAGATTTGAATAGGAGTACAATTATTTGGGGCTGTTACTGTGACAACGTATACTGACATAAAGAAAATCTATGGAAAGTGTAAAGATAGCCTTTTTTTTTTCCTTGGGAAGATGTTTAAGAGGTCATTATTTAGCTCTACCTATTGTCTTGAGGGAGCCTAGGGTAGGGTGTTATAGGTTGTATTAGACTGTATTAATGAGAATAACCCGCCCCTTTAGATATCAGATAAATATAAAAAGAAGTCCTTAAGAATCTTTATGTAAATCAGGAACCTGAGACAACATCAATATGGAAAAAAACACAAGCATTGGGCAAGGCTTGAACAGAAGTTAAACTGCTTGGTCTAAGGCAATGGTTCTCAACCTTTTTTGTACC